AGCTGGCGGGTTCCCCTTCACCTCTCAGCAGGAGCAACCCTGGCTCACTGGTGTTTTAAGTCAAGCTGGTGGATTCCCCTTCACCTCTTGCCCGCTAACACTTTAAGCACCACCCACAAGATTCCAAAGGACTTGTCAGAGAACTGTCATGAGCTCTGGCCGCACATAAGAGTGTTTCAGGTGCCGTCTTTCTCTCTCTGTTCTGTGGTATTAATTGAACTGATTTGCAGCAGTTAAGTGGTTTCTAGTAACAAGTGTAACAAGTAGAATCATTCATTTCAAAAAGAACTGTATACATTCTGACATGCTGGTTTTATTTAAGTGGTTGAAACTTTTCTTTAATATTAGCATAGTTATGCTTTGATTAAACTGTCCCGGGGAGATCCCCTGACAATGAAATTGGTTGTATGAAGAAAACACCCTGCACTATCACGTGATATAGACCTGCTTGGTATCGATTTGAACACTTGAAATGACACACGATGCTGGACTTGGAGGCACATGTGTTCAACTCCTTGGAGGATGAAGCAGGAAGATGGTGAGTTCAAGGATTGTCTGGCATTCAGGGCTAGTTCAAGCCAGTCTGTGGAACTGTGGAAGATCTGTTCACAGAGGAAAGAACATTGGGTCAGATGACTACCAGATGGACAAAGCCATTGGGTTGGTCACTGCGATGGAGAGGCATGACTGGAAGCCTGCCCTGGGGAAGCTGCTGAGGGACTCCGAGACGTTGATGATATATCTCCTGGGGAGGTCTTGGGCAGAGGCTGAAGAGGCTTTGCGTGTGTTAAGTAAGGAGATCAGGGCTCATGCCCCAAACAAGCCGGGCATGGTAGGCTCATAGGGCAGTTATTCTTTGGTGGCCTTGAAGCACTTGTCACTTTGGTGCCACTGAGGCCTGGCCTACAAAGTTTTCACCATGTAAGTCAGTTAAGGGTGGACAGTGGGAAGTCTGCATGACCTTCCACCAACATGGGCAAAGTAGATCCCTCCGTTTGAGAAGGCAAAGTAACAAAGATGTTTCCTGGCATTCTCTCTCTGTCTCTCCTGAGAGCACATCACCACAGAACTGGGAGAGAGGACACACATGTTTCCTCCTGACCTGCCAGGCCGACAAAGCACCTAACTGACGCAGACTTTGAAGAACAAGGCTAACGGCTCTGACTTTCATGGCTTGAACTGGAGTGAGAGACCATTTCTGTGGTAATTTCATGGGGGATGCAATTTTCACTTCAAATAGAAGATGTCCCCATGGCTCGTTAAAATGTAACTCATACTCAGGGTTGGCCTCTAAATGTCTCCTGGTCCACAAGATAGCTTCTGTTGCTGAGTGCTCTCCCCACAGGGCACCGCTGCTGCCGGGGTCATCCACTGCCTTTCTCAATATGGCTTCTGCAGAGAAAAGGTTAGTGATAAATCGAGGAGTTCAGGACTGTGAACACCTTCCTTTCGGGGCAGTGACATGCAGGAGGTGGGGAAATGAGAAGCATTTGAGGGCGAGGGAGAACGAGCTAGGGCTTCATTCCCTCTTTTCAAATCAGAAAAGGCTTCAATCTTCCTTTCCCCCATGAGTCAGAAAGGTAAAGTGATATAAAACCCAGCCCATTCCTACGCCTTGAGGCTTGACTACAATGAAACCATTAGGGGGATGCAAATTGAATCTTCACTGACTAAAGTCAGTGCAGAACACACTGTCTGGGATATGTGCAAAACCTCCTGTTCATGAATAGGGTTTTCCTCCAAATACTGTGGGCAGACACTATTTCAGCAGGAGAAAATTTGACTTACAGGGTTATTAAAAATGAAGCAATACTTTAAAAAAATCTCTGTGTTAACAAACAATACATGAAGATTGAAATTTCGGTAGTTAAATGTTAAAAAATGAGGCATTTTGTTGATGATAGTTTATGAAAAGCAGTGTAAGTGGTAGGAAAAAGAGCATGCATTTGTGACCTCATTGCTTGGAGGCTTAGAATTAGGCAAGTTTCAGACAGGCTTCATTTGCCTACATGCAAATCTTAGGATTGAAACTTTTTTTACTTATAAGTAAGCTTGTGATAGCTTAGGACACTTGTGACCGGGACTGAGGAGATGGCTCAGTGGGTAAGAACACTTTCTGGGCAAGTGTGAGGACTTGAGTTCAGATCCTTAGCATCCATATAAGAAGTTGAGTGTGCAGCACCTCTGTAACCTCAGCTAAATCTGAAGAAAGGACAGGAAGAGTGTTGGGGATCACTGACTACCAGTTTAGTCAAAACCCAGCAAGCTGTAGGTTCATTGAGAGAACCTGTGTTCAAGGGAGGCTCGGAGAATGCTGGAGAAGGACCCAGTGTCTAGAGTGCACTCTACAAACCACAAGTACACCAACATGGGCAGAAGCACACCGGACTGACGGTGGGGTGACAAACCATGAGTACACCAGCATGGGCAGGGGCACACTGGACTGACAGTGGGGTGACAAACAGCTGTTGCTTTTTCCTCCAGGAAAACTAAGAACAAAAGTGTCATATCAACCGCAGAATTCTGGATATATCCATGGAAAGAGTAAAAGCCTATATTTGAAAATTTATAGATATTCAAGTGTAGTCACAAAATAGAATCAACTCAAGTACTTGTCAACAAATGAACAAACAGGATGAAGGATTTATACATCATGGGATACAATTAAATGTCCAATACAGTCTTTAAAAGCAATGCCATTTGATGCCTGTTACAATATAGCTAAGGCTTAGTGACAATGTGTGAGTGAAGCATCTATCCAGTTGCACAGGCCACACACAGTATGATTCCACCCTTGGGAAGTACTTAGAATTCTGAGACAGAAAATAGAATAATGGTTACCAAGGGATCAGAGGAGGGGAGAGTGTGAACTTAGCATAGAATTTCAGTTCACATGACAAAAACCTTCTAGGTAGTACCACTGAGCTAAGACCACTAAGCTTAGTACCGCTTCAAAATAATTAAGGTGGAAGTTGTGTTATATAAATCTTGCCACTACATCCATACAAACAAACCAACATATAAACATGCACACACACACACACACACACACAGAGAGAGAGAGAGAGAGAGAGAGAGAGAGAGAGAGAGAGAGAGAGAATGATGACTGTGTCAGTTTTTGGTTACTGTAACAAAATATCTGAGGCTATTGACTTTAAAAAGACAACAAGTTTATTTTACTACCAGTCTGGGAGGCTCCAGTCCACAGTCGCTTGACCCCATTGCCTTTGGGCCTGTAGTGACCAGGCATCATGATAGGAATCATAAAATGATGACTTTCTAAATTTCCAGTTTGTATATAATGTTGAGCTACTCATTTATGCCAAAGAACCAAAGATTTGCTAAATAGTTAAACTACAAATTGAAGACAGAATATCATAAATATCATTTTTGAGGCTATGGAATAGATGCAGAATTTGCTACCACTAGGACAGTAGAAACAGAAAGCAAGAGCTGATACAATAGGAGTGTTCACGACAAGGGTTGTCTTCGAGTGTGCAAATTTCCTGGTAGAAAAGAAGGAATAATAGCGTCAGGAAGGAAAACTCAGAAGCAGTTCTTTTATCCACAGGTAGAGATGTCCAGGAGGCAGGTGACAAATCTAGACCTTTTGTAAGCCTTTATCTCTAAACAAATAACTGAGATCTAGGACTTTTCCTTTGCTTTCTTTGTGTATGCATATGTGTGTGTGTGTGTGTATATAAGACTGAGCCTTCCATTAGCTGCTTGCCAATTTGGTTAGACCAATGGGCTAGTGAGACTAAGGTTCTACCTGTTCAAGTGTCCTGTGCTTTTTAAAATGAATTCTAAGGGTCAAACTTGGGTCCACAGGCTTGACCTGAGTGATCTCTGCACCCCATATCTAGAACTTTCAGAGTGAGAAACTTTAAGTGTGTTGAATTGTTGACACTTCAAATTTCTAGGGCCATCTCCTCAAAATATCTGTTTCTTTATAAACTCACCTTCAAGTTTTATCTTGAGAAATCCTGTATATTCAGGTGTATTTACAGAGGTGAATAATATTTCAGTGCATTTCTCAGAGACAAATGTGTGGCCTCTGGCCTCACTGGGCATGGGTGTCACCATGTTCCAATCAAATAAAAATATCTATCTTACTTGGAAAAGAAATCTTTCATTTTAGGCTCTCTGGAAAAGTTTAAAACAGAGAAATATTATTTCCTTAGAAGGACAAATAAATAATTCAGATCAGCTATGAATTGTGATGAAAAAACTTTTCCATTTTTGGAGAGTTGCAGTTATCTTTCTGTCATGGAATATAGTTGCTCTTTGGCTATTTCACACCTAATCATGGCGCTTTCTGGAAGTGGTCCCAGATCCCCCCATCCCCTCCTTCCTTTTTCCTTCCTTCTCTTCCTTTCCCCACCTTCCTTCTCCTTCTTTTTTATTTTCCCCCCGATTTCTCTCTGTGTAGCCCTGCCTGTCACAGAACTTGCTCTGTAAACCAGGCTGGTCTTGAACTCAGAGATCCACCAGTCTCTGTCTCCTGAGCACTGGAATTAAAGGTGTGTGCTACCATATCCAGCTCTTCTTTTTCATTTTGAAATCTTTGTAGTTCTGTTTAAATTTAGTCTGCTCTTGACTCCTAGGGTTGACATGTGACCTAAGTTTGCCCATTGAAAGCATAAAGAATAATGGTTGGGGCTGGAGAGATGGCTCAGAGGTTAAAAGCATTGCCTGCTCTTCCAAAGGTCCTGAGTTCAATTCCCAGCAACCACATGGTGGCTCACAACCATCTGTAATGAGGTCTGGTGCCCTCTTCTGGCCTGCAGGCATACACACAGACAGAATATTGTATACATAATAAATAAATATTTTTTTAAAAAAGAATAATGGTTGATTGAAGGATGGGCACGTGACCCAAATGAGATGGATTAGACACATTCTCCCCCACCCCATGTGTGTGTGCGTATGCATGTGTGTGTGTGTGTGTGTGTGTGTG